TCTCTGAGCTCTGGGTAGAGCCCACACTGAATTCTGGGTCTCCAAAAAGGGAGAATTATTATGAGTTGAGACCACATGATGCTTTTACAGTGCACTTAAAAAAATTTTTTTTAACAAATACATTTCTAAGTGTCTAAACCACACTCTTGCTTAAAACCTCAAGAGTAAGAGTAACCTCTGTTGCAATAACTATTTTAGTAAAAAACAAAAAAAAACAGGTAACACAATATAAAAGTAAGTAGTTTAAGAGCTGAGACCAACTTATCTTTTTACATTCTTGGGGTTCCATAAGGAAAACCCCCCCAAAAGGAGTCTAGCACCTTCTTCATTTCTTTAAAACGCCAGGCTACTATAAACGATTTCAGGTCCCTCATGCAGCAGAGTGTGCAAGAGAAAGGAGAGACAGTAGAAGTAAACAAAGAAAACAGAATTCAGTCTCACACACACACACACACACGCACACACACACGCGCACACATGCACGCACACACACACGCACGCGCGCACACACACACCCCTTGGATGTTAGCTTTTAATTAAGCTGACTCTTAATCATTGAGTGCCTTTAAAAAATCTTTTTAAATCTCATTACCATATTTCAGCTAGAAAAAAATGCTGCTATTTCAAAATTACAGCATTGCTCTTTCAGTTTTGCCTGCCTAGCAAAAGGTGGCCTTGTTATGCAAATAAAGCCCCTTAGCAGTCAAAATAAAAAAAACTTTCCTTTTTTTTTCCTTTTGTTCCTCCTTTTTCTCCTCCCACCATACCACTTTTTTTTTTTTTTCTCTTGAGACAGAGTCTTGCTCTGTCACCCAGGCTGGAGTACAGTGGTGCAATCTCAGCTCACTGCAACCTCTGGCTCCCAGGTTCAAGCAATTCTCCTCCCTCAGTCTCCCAATTAGCTGGGATAACAGGTGCATGCAACCACCCCCCAGCTAATTTTTGTATTTTTAGTAGAGATGGGGCCTTCACCACATTGGCCAGGCTGGTCTCAAACTCCCGACCTTGTGATCTGCCTGCCTCAGCCTCCCAAAGTGCTGGGATTACAGGTGTGAGCCACTGTGCCCAGCCCTTTATGTGTATGTCAGGGTGAGGGGGTCGGGGGAAATTTAGCCACTCCAGAGGCCTTGTTCCCCATAATTAGGAACTTCTTTCGGATTTGATCAAGTCAGATATTGCTGATCAAACCAAATGGGAAAAGACTGAAACAACAAAACAGAAACAAACAACAACAGATAGTCAAGCAGAACAAACGATGGCACAGCTTACATGATTACGGAGCACTCCGATGGTAAGGACAAACCAAGAGCAGAAGGTTGTTAGCTTTAGCTAAGACAAACCCACAATTCAGCTACTTACCCAGGGATGGGTCTCAGGCTCAAGACAGCTCTCTACCATCTTAGAAGCAGGAAAAAACCTCATCTTCCCTATTGGAAGCGAGCTCAAACTCCATAAAGGAGTTACCTGCCTTCCATTGTCATGGAAGCAGGAAAACTTGCCTTCCTTGTTAGAAACAAGTAAAACTTCAAAAAAAGCAGGGGGGAGTTGTAGAGCAAAATAAACTTTAGATCTCCACCAAATTTGGGGAGATCTGGGATTGTCTGGAGCGGGTGGTCCCAGACCTCAGCAAATTGTTCTATTGGTTTGAGCCACAAAGTTAACTCACCCTGGTACCAAGCACCGATAGGAGATTTGTCAAAGGTCAGGGGCACCTCCACTCAGAATCCTCTGTGGTTACCAAAATGTCAACTCCAAAAATTTGAGAAAAGTCTGAGTTAATTTAGAAAGTTTATTTTGCTAAGGTTGAGGACTTGTGCTCATGACATACCTCAAAGTCCTATTGACAGCTTGGTTTTATACATTTTAGGGAGACAGGAGACATCAACTAACATATGTAACATGAATATTGGTTAACGTGGGACTACTCAAAGCAAAAGCCTGCAGGTCACAGGTAGATAAGAGACAAGTGGTTGCATTCTTTTGAGTTTCCGATTAGTCTCTCCTGAGGAGGCAATCAGATATGCATTTATACCAATGAGCAGAGGGGTAACTTTGAACAGAATTGGGGGCAGGTTTGCCCTAAGCAGTTTGCAACTTGACATTTCCCTTTAGCTTAGGGATTTCAGGGCCCAAGATATTTTCCTTTCATTTGGTCTTCTGGGAGGGATGGGATGTGGAAAGTGGGCCGGAGGGGTGCCAAAGTCAAACCCACCTACGTTAGTGCAGACAGAACTGCTGCTTCCCCCCAGAGTTTAGAGTCTTGGCCAGTGCCTCCCTCGGCTGGTTTCCTTACCCTGGCTCATTCCACAACATGCACTGACATCTGGATGGCACTTGCTAGGTGCCAGAAGCCTGGCTAAGGCCTTTGCGTGTATTTAGTCATTGAATCTTCCCAAAGATCCTATGGGGTAGGTGCTGTTATCACAAAGAAGGTCAAGTTGCTAAAGCGTAACTTGCTAGATCTGGCATCATAGAGAAATACGGAGTTAGGGCCAGCACCGTACAGAGAGGAGTGCAAGTCAACACCCAAGAAGGGAAGCACACAGGCCCCGCTGTCCACACTTTGTTTTGATAGCTGGGGTTCTCCTTTGGTTCTGATCAGTTACCCAATTCTTTTCTTCTGAAAGGAGGAAGCAGCCTATTGCTCAGGAAAACAGATTTTCCAAAAGCTGAACGGTGTTTTGTTTGGCTAGGTTTTCTTTTGTTGTCGCTGTTTTTGATACAGGGACTCACTCCGTCGCCAACCCCGGAATGCAGTGGCATGATCATTTTTTATTGTATTTTTTAACTAAAAAAAAAAAATCAAGTTTCACATCAGGTTACCAGGATCAGGATACTTTGGCCCACATCTTCTGTTATAATAGGCATTTAAAAAATACTTGTTTTTCTGATTATCAAAGTCATACACATTCATTCTCAAGATCTGAAAAAGTACAGGAATGCAAAGTGAACAAAATTAAAATTACTTGTTACTAAAAGGATAAATTTGATAGTATGTGAATTTTATTTCAAAAAAACAAAATAATAAAAAGGAAAACAAAAAAAATTGTCATGCCACCAATGAAACCTAAACTTCATCTTACCTTATTTCTTTGCATATTTACATCTTTTGTTACTTAAAAGAAACTCATGAGTATTTCTTTTTTATTTTTATTTTTTTTAAGAAGAAGTCTCACTCTGTCACCTAGGCTGGAATACAGTGGTGCAATCTTGGCTCACTGCAACCTCCGCCTCACGGGTTCAAGCAATTATCCTGCCTCAGCCTCCCGAGTAGCTGGGACTACAGGCACACACCACCACACCTGGCTAATTTTTGTGTTTTTAGTAGTGACAGTGTTTCACCACATTGGCCAGGCTGGTCTCAAACTCCCAACCTCGGGTGATCCACCCACCTTGGCCTCCCAAAGTGCTGGGATTACAGGTGTGAGCCACCGCATTCGGCCGAGTATTTCTTACACTACTGAATCTTTTCAAAAAAGCAATGTTCATGGCTGCATAATAATCCACTGCATAACTGTCTGTTGCAGAGACAGACACGTGGCCTTATCCTCTAGAAAAAATTTCTCACAAGGGACTTTAATAAAGGGAGTCTGATGGAGAGGATGGTGTCCTCAATATCATTTTACAGCAAATTCAATAACACATTTCATCTGGCTGTTTTTGACCTTTAATAAAAGCCAGGGACTCAACATTAAAATGCCACTCCAAAGGCAGTTCCTGGAGGGCACTGCTGTCAAGTTATGAAGCTTTCCGGTGGCCAGCTCCATCCCAGGATAGCGTTTAGGCTGCCAGGTGGATGGATGCACTGTGTGTCTGTAAAGCGTCTCCCATCAGCTGGACCACATCTCTTTTTCAGCAGGAGCTGAAGAGCAGACAGAGCTGACCTGGCCCCCGGAGCTGGGCTTGGGCATTCAGTTCACAGACACTCCTGGCACCAGCCATGTGCCACACACACAGGGGCCTGGGCCCCATTTAGCCTGCCAGGTGCTCCTCCGGCCAGGGAAGCTGCTCACTGAGCCAGGTTGGGGGATGAGGTGGGCTTTAGGGGTCTACTCAAGGCTGTATGTACACGTACATGGGCCCTACCCCAGAAAAGAGGTCCAAAGCTTTGCTCCAACTCTCAAAGGCAGCCATGACCCTGAAAGGAAAAGAACGCCATAACTGGGGGACATCTTCTGCGTGTTGGCTTCTTTCTTTCTTTATATTTATTTTTGAGACAGAGTCTTGCTCTGTCACCCAGGCTGGAGTGCAATGGCAAAATCTCAGCTCGTTGCAACCTCCACTTCCTGGGTTCAAGCAATTCTTCTGTCTCAGCCTCCCAAGTAGCTGGGATTACAGGCCCCTGCCACTATGCCTGGCTTTTTTTTTTTTTTTAATAGAGACTGGGTTTCATGACGTTGGCCAGTCTGGTCTCAAACTCCTGACCTCAAGTGATCCACCCGCTGCAGCCTCCCAAAGTGCTGGGATTATAGTCATGAGCCACAGCACCTGGCTATGTTGGCTTCTTAAGTGTCTGCACTGTGACCTAGAGCACTGCAGGCTAGCCGAGCATCCAGCTACTGGCCCTGGTTTCAGGCTCAGCCTCAGCTTCCTTTTTGGGAAAAACAAAAGCACTGTGATTAGATGCTCTCTAAGTGTCTAAGATTGTCTTGAGACTGGCCTGCTTCCACCACTTACAGGCCGTGTAATCCCTGCCACATTGCTCAGCTTATCTGAGCCTTAGAGTTCCATCTGCTTTGTCTAGTTTTGGGAACTAGTTTGGGTCTAGTTTTGGGAACCGGGGAGAGCCCTGTGAATTCTTCGGATAGTAGCCCTCTCAGGGGGCGCACGTGTGCTTCTGAAGAGCAAGGTGTAAGTGACCAGTGACCACTAGGGTGTGCTAACAGGGGTGGAGCAGACAGCTGGGCTCTGCAGGGACTTCCACAAGCAGAGCCAGGCGTAAGGCTGCCCTGAAGCCACCCAGAAGGGACAGCAGGGTTGCCTGTCCTCTGCTCTGGCAGGTACTACATGGGAGACACCATGGACGTCCTATTTGAGAAGTGGTTCTACTGCAAGGACCTTGGCACGCAGTTGGTCCCCATCATCCAGGAGTAAGCCCCCAGCCCAGCCGCTGCCCCTTGCTTTCCTGGGGCTCTGCATCAGCACCTGATGGCCTGGAAGAAAGTCTCCCCTCCCAGGATGGGGAGCCTGGCCCAGAGGGCCCACTGGGGACGGGGAGGGGCAGCAGCACGGGGCTGGGAGGGAAAGGATGGGAGACACACAGTTGTGTGAGGACCCCATGAGTGTGTGTGCACCTGACCATGAGTATGGTGTATGTGCGTGTCACTGGCCACTCCTGCCCCTCCCTCTTCATCCCTGCAGGTTCTTCAGCTCTGAGCAGTACACAACAGGAAAGCCCATCCCTGGTGAGGCCACTGGGAACCTCCCTTCTTCCCTCCCTCCGCTTCCAAAATAGGATGCGTTTTGGTCCAGGGGACTGGGGAGTCTCTTTTTGAATACTCTGTCCAGTCCTCAAGGTACTGAGATGATAGGCAATGGTACCCCTACATAGCTGTTTGATCATTGAGCTGGATCCAGAGCCTGTTCTGGCAATGGAGACCTGGGGCCCCTGGGAACTGGGCCCACTGGGGCTGGGTGACCTGGTACTAAGGACACTGACTAGAGTCATGCTGTGGGTACAGACCAGCTGCTCAAGGAGCCACCATTCCCACTGAGCACACGATCCGTCATGAAGCCCATGTCCCTGAAGGCCTGGCTGGACAGCCACCACCAGGAGCTGCAGGCAGGCACACCACTTAGCCTGTTCGGGGACACCTATGAGACCCAGGTAATGCAACCTGGGGCACCCGGGGCATCCTCCCAGCAGCCCTGGAAAATGGGAACCAATCTCTCTCTCACTGCCTCTCTCTCTCTCTCTCTCTCTCACTGCCTCTCTCTCTCTCTCTCTCTCACACACACACACACACACACACACACACACACACCACATTTCAGAGGTTGCACACATGAGCACAGGCCTTGGTGCTCCCCCCCTGACTCAGCGGGCGCTGGCTTTGCTGTGAGCGGAGGTCTGTGGAGGCTGTATGGTCCCAAGCAATTTTAAGATCTGAATTCACTTTGAGAGTTGGAGGTTCCCCACTCCCTGACAGCTTCCTGAGGATCTGCACTTCTCTTCTTGCTAAGAATTCCTGAGCCTTCAGCCAGTCACAGCCTTGGAAGCCAGAAGGGAAAGAGTTGTTTGGGAGTGACGGTTGGGTGAAGAGAGATTCAAACAAAGCTGACTTTCTTTCATTCCACATTTATTAAATGCCTGTTATGTTTCAGGCTTTAGTGGGAGAATAACAGAGTCTCTACCTTAAAGAATATATAGTTTATTCAAAGAAATGGACAAGTTAATCAACATTGCCACAATAATGTGATAAAGTATCTGATAGAAAAGCTATAGGAAGCTATAGAAGGATAAAGGAGGAACCCAGGCTGAAAGGGAAGTCAAGGAAGGCTTCCTGGAGGAGGTGATGTGCATGCTGCATTTTAAAGCTAGTGTAGAAGTTTATAAAAGAAAGAAAGGGAGGGGGAGAGAGCATTCTAGGTGAGGGAGAAGCATGAGCAAAGGCATGGTGGCTTGAAACAGCCTGGCCCTGGGAGTAGCTGAAGTTGGCAAGAGGCAGGGCTGGGGAGTGGGGGTACAAGTGTGACTGGTGGACTGTGGAGCAGCAGGCAGGGCCCAGGTCCTAGTAGGTCTGCTGGGCTAGGCCAGGTAGGAGGACTTGTCCTAAAGACAATAGCGTTCCACCCAAGTGTTGAAGCAGGGGAGTGACAAGCGAGAGTGATGTTTCAGAAAGGTCACTCCATACCATGTGTGGGGATGAGGCTGGGAGGGCAGGAGTGGTGCAGGGAGACCTGCAGGAGGCAAGTGTTCGCCTGTGCTTTGTGGCTTGCCACTGGCACATCCCGTGGGCTTTGAATTAGTCAGTCTGTGAAGGGATGCTCATGGCTACAGGCTCCCCTTAAGAGGCGTGGCCTGCTGCTCTTGGGTACCAGGGATGTCCTGAGCTTACACAGGGCTGCAAGAACATGCACAAATGGCACAGCAGTGCCACTCAGTCCTGCACCCCACCTCCGTCATACCCTGCTCTTACCTGCTTCAGTTTACATGAATGAATATCCACTGAGTCCCTCTTTGGGCCAGCAGGAACATGGCCCCACACAGTAGCTGTGGGCTTCCAGGCCGGTCCATGTCAGAGAGGCCTCGGCCTCGCCCTCCTTGTTCCCTCCTCCTCCTGAGGCCAGACTTATAGTGTCTCAGGAGAAAGGGAGGTGGCACCCTCTGGGAAGCTGGTGTAAATGTGTCCCTAGTGTGCCCTGGTGAGCGTTCCTTCGCATGGGCACACATCAGAGGGACCACAGGTGCACTGTGCATGAAAGGCAGGCATGTGTGATCCCAAATACTTGTTGCAGTGGCAGGCACAGGAAGGCCTGCAGCCCAGGCAGCCTTCCTCTCCATGTCCCGGTCTCTGCTCAGCACATGGTGATGGGGCTGATTTATGGGCCCCAACCCTGCTCCAAGCAGGCCCGGTGTCTGGGGGCCAGGTTCAAGACCATCTCCCATGTGGGGCAAGAAGCACCAGAAGTTTCTGTTTCACCTCTCACCAGGTGATCGCCCATGGACAAGGCAGCAGTGAAGGCCTGAACCAGAATGTGGACGTGTGGCTGTGGCAGCTGGCAAGTGGGGCCCAGGGACAGGGTTGCAGAAGCCCCTGCAGGGGGCTGGGCTGCCTGTTCTTGGGCCTTTGGGCCCAGCAGCCTCATACCTTCCCCCAGGTGTTGAGTCCCAACACCCTCCATTTGATTCTCTGCTCCTCTCTCCAGGAGGGCTTCTCGGTGGTGACGATGAGGGGACAGCGCCTGAGCCTGGGCCCCGAGGACAGCCTCCTAGTGCTAGCTGGGACCTCGTGAGTATGTGGGGAGGGCTTTCTCTGGGATCCTCAGGACCCAGCTGTCTGAGCCCTGCTCATCTGTGTGTCCACAGGTATGCCTGGGAGCGAACGCAAGGCTCTGTGGCCCTGTCTGTGATGCAGGATCCTGCCTGCAAGAAGCCCTGGGGTGACCCCTTTGCCATGGCCTGAAGCAGCCACAGGTGTGCCAAGCACCCTCTTGAGTGCCATCCCCACTAAACAACTCTCCCAGCCCCTACTGCTTCTCCATGAACTGCTGCTTGTGTCCCTCACAGACCTGGACATGATTGTCAACCACCCTCCTGCCCTTCTCAGCCCAGAAGCCATGCCCCTGGGTGGGCAGCAGCTCCCTATCTTCTCTGGCAGTCTTACCCCACTGCCTTGCCAGCCTTTCCAGGCAGTCTACTCCCTGCCCAGCTCCTGCCCATTCCTCTGTCCCTACAGACTTTATGCAGCACCTCCCCACCAAGAAGGCCCGCAGTAAAGGTTTCCTGGTGAACGAATACCTGTGGGTCTACACACACACAGGCAATCATCGCTGCTGTTCCCATGGGCTCCCCTGGGACCATGTGATGTATCTGGGGCATCCGGACCCCAGGTGGCCATGGACGTGTTGGAGGGTCTGTTATTGAGCATCCCTGTTCCTGGATGGGCATTCCTCACTGTGCGTGTGTGACTTGACCCACGCATGCTCCGTGTCTGGTCCTGGGAGCACAGCTAATGTCATCTCTCCACTTCCTTCTTGTTCCCATTTATTCCTGTTACTTTTCTTTTTCCCCCAAGACTGGATCTCACTCTGTCACCCAGGCTGGAGTGGAGTGGTGCAATCACAGCTCACTGCAGCCTTGAACCCCTGGCTCAAGCGATTCTCCCACCTCAGCCTTCTGGGTAGCCGGGACTACAGGCATGCACCACCACACCCAGCTAATTTTTTTATTTTTTCTTTTTTGTAGAAATGGGGGTTTCACCATGTTGCCCAGGCTGTCTTTTTACATAACTTTAAAAGACTAGCATCTGTTGAGTTTTTTTCCAATAACAGAAGTCATCTGTGCTAACTATAGAAAACACAGAAATACACAAAACCCCCGGCCCAGAGCTAACCACTGTTAATACCTAAAGACTACAATCAGTCTGGAGAGGGAGCGAAGTTGTACCAGGAGCTCAGCAGTGTTGGTGGGGTTGTCAGGCCTTGTGCGCCCTGCACTCCCCTGTCATGCACAGGCACCATGTTCAAAGACTCCAGAGGACCCCCTGAGCCTGTTGTGTGGGTCTCGGGATGCAGAGGCACCAGTGGGCAGAGATGAGAAAGTGGAGCCTGCAGCGGGCATGATGACTCGGTTTCCTGGGACATCCATGGGAAGTCAATGAGGGCATGCACATGAGCGTGTCTGGACAGAACAGATGCCTGCTTGGCCTCAAGCTTCCTCTAGAAAAGAACACTTGAGCCCTGTCTTCCCCATCCCCAGCCTGCTGGCTCTCTGCCTTCCTACGTTCCACTGGGAGTAGAGGAAGACCTGCCTTTGCTGAAAAGGCTGCTGGCCCAGAGAGATATTGGGACCTTCACCCACCTCTTCACCCCTAAGGATTTTCCTCACCTACAAGCAAACAAAACATACCATCAGGCTCCTCCAAACGCAAATGGTCCAGGGCAGGCGCAGGCAGAGGCTCAGTGCAGCCTGTTCTTGGCCTGTAACAATGCACTGCTCCATGCATGACCTGAGAAGAGAACATAGAATGTTCCCAGAAGGCCTGGGGTCAGAACACACATAGCCATGAGGAGAAGAGTCTACCCTCGTACCCAGGACAAGCCTAATTCAGACAGCCATGAAAATTAGATCTGCTTCTGTGAACACTCGCTCTGTGCCAGGGAATCCCCTGGAAGTTTTTCATAAATTATCTCATTTTATCCTCACAACTCTCCAAGAAGGTGGTAGTATCCGATTTTACAGATGAGGCTCAGAGAGGTCTGGAAACAGGGCAGCTCTGTTCCCACCCAGGCTGCCTGCATATGAAGCTTAGTTAGGCTGGGCCTCACCATCCTGCTTCTCCCAGGGATGTCTGACCTCAGCCTCAACCCAACAGGAGCCCAGGGCAGCCAAGAGAGGCCAGGGGTCACTGTGCCTGAAACACAGAGCCTGGCCACACACAGCAGATGGCTGACACCAGCCAGCTGGCAGTTGTGGGTCAGGCTCTGAAACCTGGAACCACCACCTCCCTTGGCTCTGCTGCCCTGGGTTATCAGGAGCCTGAAGCCCTCATCTCCAACCACAGGACCAGCCTGTGGGCTCATGAGAACACCTCACCATGGGACAGCCGGACTTGTACCTTGTCTGGAGCCAGCCCCAGCTTCCCACTCCCCATTCTGCAGTGAATGCTGATGGGGGCGGGGAGTTGGGTGGACAAGGAGCCATGGGGAAGCACAGACAGGGAAAATCAGGATTGTTCTCTTTGTGGACGAAGCCCCCAGGTCTCTATGCCATGGTGGTAGAAAGCTGGCAGCGATGCCCTCTGCCCATGGGCTACTTCACCGTGTACCTGGGCTTGGAACCATCACAGACTTTGGAACCATCAGGAATCTGGGAGTGACTGCAGGCTGAACTACAGTGGACTTTCAGACGCACAGCAGGCTGGTGGAGTACACACAGCCTGGTTCCTTGCAGGCCACCAGCAGAATGATGGAGGTCTCACTTCAGGCCACTCCCTGCCCACTTCTCCCAGGACAATGTCCTGTTGGCTTCACAGTCCCTGAAGCCAGAGCTGGTGGGGGCAGGGAGGCAGCCACCTGCCTCTATTTGTAGTAGGGGAGGGGGTGTCCAGGGAGGGCTGCATGACCCTGAGAGCCACAGGTCACCAGGCCTCAGGGCTGCAAATACTCTCCCCTGCCTCACCTGTCTGGACTTTTCTCCCTCCAGGGTTTTTCTGGGCTTCCATCTTGCCCCTGCTGAGCCCTGCTTCCTCCTCTACCAGGGGCACAACCCCCAGGCTGGGTTCAGAAGCCTCATGTGGTCACTCAGTCCCCCGGCAGACAGGGAGGGTGCAAGGTTTCCCCTTGGCCCGCAAACAGGAACACGATGTTTCTCAGTGGCTGTGAGAATGCTGATGAAAACCCCAGGATGTTGTGTCACTGTGGTGGCCAGCTGTTAGTGACAATCATCCCTCTTTGCCCTGAGTACTCCTGCTGGGGTAGAAGACTCCAGAACCTTTCTCAGGTCTGTGGCCCATGCAGCCCATGGAGCTTCATAACCTGAGCTCTCCATCTCCCTCTCTCTCCTCTTCGGTTCTCCTTCCCTCCTTCCCTCCCTCACCCTCCTCTTCTTCCTCTGCCTTTACCACTGTGGGGGTGTCCTCTAGAGAGACCTGCCACCCTACCTCTTCCCCAGTGGTGTCTGCCTTCCTGGCACCGATCCTGGCCCTGGAGTTTGTCCTGGGCCTGGTGGGGAACAGCTTGGCCCTCTTCATCTTCTGCGTCCACATGCGGCCCTGGACCTCCAACACGGTGTTCTTGGTCAGCCTGGTGGCCGCTGACTTTCTCCTGATCAGCAACCTGCCCCTCCGAGTGGACTACTACCTCCTCCATGAGATCTGGCGCTTTGGGGCTGCTGCCTGCAAAGTCAACCTCTTCATGCTGTCCACCAACCGCACGGCCAGTGTCGTCTTCCTCACGGCCATTGCACTCAACCGCTACCTGAAGGTGGTGCAGCCCCATCACGTTCTGAGCCGGGCTTCCATGGGGGCAGCTGCCCGGGTGGCCGGGGGACTCTGGGTGGGCATCCTGCTCCTCAACGGGCACCTGCTCCTGAGCACCTTCTCAGGCCCCTCCTGCCTGAGCTACAGGGTGGGCACGAAGCCCTCAGCTTCGCTCCGCTGGCACCAGGCGCTGTACCTGCTGGAGTTCTTCCTGCCACTGACACTCATCCTCTTCACCATCGTGAGCATTGGGCTTACCATCCGGCGCCGTGGCCTGGGTGAGCAGGCAGGCCCACAGAGGGCCATGCGCGTGCTGGCCATGGTGGTGGCTGTCTACACCATCTGCTTCCTGCCCAGCATCATCTTTGGCACAGCTTCCATGGTGGCCTTCCGGCTGTCCGCCTGCCACTCCCTGGACCTCTGCTCACGGCTCTTCCACGGCTCCCTGGCCTTCACCTACCTCAACAGCGTCCTGGACCCTGTGCTCTACTGCTTCTCCAGCCCCAGCTTCCTCCACCAGAGCCGGGCCTTGCTGGGTCTGACTCGGGGGCAGCAGGACCCCGTGAGCGATGAGAGCTCCTACCAACCCTCCAGGCGGTGGCGTCGCCAGGAGGCCTCGAGGAAGGCAGAGGCCACAGGGAATCTGGAAGTGCAGGCCAAGGTGTCTCTGGAAAAGGAAGGCTCCTCCCAGGGCTGAGGGCCAGCTGCAGGGCTGCAGGGCTGCAGAGGTAAGGGCTGCTGTGCTCGCCTGGAGGGACAAGGCCAACACAGAAAAGGGATGGCGGCAGACTCGGGGCCAGGCTGAAGCACTGGCCGGACTCAGGAGGGTGGCAGGGAGAGAAAGCTGCCTTGGCCTCTCAGTGTGTCCAGAATGGTGTTCCCAGAATGCAGGGAAGAGCAGAATGCCAGGTGGAGACAGGCAGGGTGCTGTGGCCACGCCAGCTCAGACAGCGGCCTGCGCAGCTGCAGGGGCCAGAGGCCAATCACTGTCACAGCAGAGTCGCCTTAGAAATTGGACAGCTGCATGTTCTATGCTCTCGTTTGGCCCTTCTGATATTAATAAACTTCCCTTTTAAACATATTTATTTGCAAGACCAAATACCTGTCTTTAATTCTTACCTGGGACTGAGTCAGTAGGCATCAAAGTGAGCACCCCAAGGTAAAGGGAAACTTGGGACAGAGTGGGGAAGCCATCCCACAGCCCGTCCCAGGGGGCACTGTCCTTCCCAGAACTTCTGGGAATCCCTGGCATGCCCTGAAAGGCAGACTGCTTTCCTGGGTGAGGGCCTCAGACCACAAGGGCTCCAGACCCTCAGGTACAGAGTTTTATGCTGGGGATGTAATATCCCTCCCCACTTCCCTTAATCCACTTAGCCCAACCCTCTCATATCCTGGACAGGATGCACCCCAGCTACTGAAGTCACAGGAATAGAAGTGAAAGCCCAGGAGTGTCACACACAGACCAGGAAGGTGGCATCAAGGGTCAGTGTGGATGTTGGGAGAGGTCGGAGAAGAAGTATCCAACAGAGGGAGGCAGGCCTGGAAACGATGGGTGGATGAGTGCTGGACCCCACCTCCACTGCGTATCTCCAGCCCACCTCTCTGCTGCATTCAGAAATCTACCAAGGTGCCAGGGTGCCACCTGGCCTCCTCCAGGGCTGCTCTTCTGTCTCTCGGCTCCCCAGGGGCCCCTCTCACTCCCTCTATTTTTACTGCTCCCTTTTACTCCCTGGAGTCATTCCTAGGGGGTCCCCACTTCTCCGCACCCTCTGTCACCACAAGGAAGGGAGTCCAAGCCTGGGTGGGGCCACCTCAGCCTAAGACAGGTGTTTTAGGAAAGGCCTGCACACTCCTGGAGGTGGGAACTGAGCAGCTCCTTCGGGCAAATCCCCACCTGGGTTGTCAACACTTGCTGCCAGCTCAACACCAGGCACCTTTCCTCTGGTACCATCTCTGCCCCTGAATGTGCCCACCTGGACTCAGGGCAGCTCCACGGGTCATTTCCTCAATCTCCTCTTCCCTAGACCCTTCTCCTTCCAACTCCTCCATCAAGTCCTCCCAGCTCCCCCTGCACCTGTGCTCACTCCTTCGTGATATGATAGAAGAGAAATGGGCAGATACTCCCATGGCTCACAGGCATGTCTGCAGTCCTGTCTTTACCCATCAAGGGAGGGAGCAGAGGCCGCCCTAGAGGAGTTCTTGGGTAGATGCTTGTCGCAGGGCTCAGGCCTGCACTCCTAACCTGCCCCGGATCCTCCTTGCCCCCCATCTTGACCCTGAGGGCTGCTCCCTTGCTGACAAGCTGGGCATGCCACCCTTCACCTCCCCATCCTTCACAAAGCCTTCTCTGAAGGGGGTTGGGTGTTCCTCCACGAAGCAGGCTTCAGGCTGTCCCCACGCTGCCCCTGCATGGAGGTAGGACTGACTCCCTGGTCCTAACCATGGCCCCAGTCCACTGTACCCTTCTCTGGACTTAGTTTTCCATCCGCGAATGGGAACAGTGATCCTGGTCCTCTCCCAGCTCCTGGGGCTGGGGATGAAAGTAACTATATGCCCAGAGCTCTGGGTGAAGAAGGCAGTGATTATGTGGAGCAGGGAGGGGGAAGAGAAAGAAAACTGTGTTTAAGTGCAGGGTTTTCTAGAGATGGAGTAGTACCCATGGTGGTATAAGGGGAGCTGGGGGCAGGCTGAGACCCCATTTCCTATATTTGGGTTCTAAATGGCATTTTGGTCCCAGGGGCAGGCTGCACTGTCCAGTGTGAATTTGGGGCAGTGTCTTTCACCTCGTCTTTTTTCTCTTCTTTCTCCTAACATGGCCTGCTAGCACCCTGAGGGAGGATCAGATGGCATGCATCACTTTACTCCAGGGACTCCTGAGCAGGGGGTGAGCAGGCAGGGCTGGTGACAGGCCAGCAGCCACTAACTTGCCGGTGTTTACTGCGTACCTGCCATGGGCCAGACACTGAGCTACAAAGGCAGACAATTATACTATGAACTTGAGCCCCCCAGGCTAAGCTGGGGAGAGACAGACGTGCAATTGGAACCAGTGCAATGCAGCCCAGTGCAGTTCAGCGTCTTTGAGGTGGTGATGTACCCTGAGAGCAGAGGCTGGAAGAGCTGCTTCTGCCTGGACTGTCAGGGAAGTGATGTACGTAAGCTGGATCTCAGAGGATGAGGAAGGAGAGAAGACAATGGCATCCCTGGCACTGGAAGAGCATCACCAGGGCATACAGTTGTGAGAAGACTCAGTGTGCAGGGGCATGGGGAGGAGATCACTGAGGCAAGAGAGGTGGAGGCCTACTGCAGAGTGAGGGGACAGGCAGGAAAGGCAGGGAGGGCCAGACCCAGAAGGGCCCTGGTGCCAAGCCTGGGTGTCTGGGTGGATCCTGCAGACAGTATGGCAGGAGAGGGGCATGTGCATGAGGTGAAGTGGAAGATGATGATTGGTTTGCATTTTGATCAGTTACTATGGCAATAGCGTGAGAGTAGGGGACATGGGAGACGACCTATGTGGGAAATGTCTGTATTCCAAGCAAAGGCCTGAAGAAAGGCAGCCGCAGAGAGCACAGAGGGACCCAACGGGGAGGTGTGTGGGTGACACACTGAGGATGCAGGTGGTGGAGCAGGTTCAGTGGTAAAACATGTTGCAGAGGCTTGGCAGACACCCAGGCAAACATGTACAGTAGCACACTTCAGCCTAGAGATAGGATCGAGGGTCTTCCACTCACCAGGGCTATGGGAAAGAATGTGGTCATCTGGTGAGAATGAAGAGAATCAAGAACCATCCTTTTAAAAATCCCTGCAAGTAAAGGGCACATGTAGGAAAACCCAGTGAAATGCTCAGGAAAACAAACCCTCTAAGTAGGAAAAAAAACAGGTCTGTAGCAAGAAAAGGAGTCAAGGAAATCTTCACCCACATAAGAAGACTGCCCATTAAAAAGAACAGAATAAAGCCATCTTTCATGAAGGTAAAAGCCAAACATAAAATACCCAGACAGTCTGCAAAGTGCCTCATGCAAGAGCAGAGCATTTTCCAAAATGTTTCCTAATCACATACTGAAGAAAGTTGATCTCAAAACCAGTGTGCATATCTGACACTGTCTGGTCAATCAACACCCTGGATGGACAACCTGGAATAACAGTGCATTGTCTGGGTCTATTTTTTAAAAGCTTTTCAAACACTGATAGGCTGTCATTGTATGAAATTTAATAATATGCAAAACATGCTCGTTATCATTTATGGATTCATACATATGCATTAATAGTATAAAACCATGTATGGGATGATAAACACTAAATTAAAGAGAGTACTTCTGAGATGGAGGAAAATGGAAAGGGGCACACAGGTGACTTACTACTAGATCTGAAATTATCTTTCTAAAAAAATCGACTATGAGTGACATTTGCATGTTACTTGGCATTGCTTTGGGTAGAGAATAAAGGGATCAGTGCAAGGAATGAAAAAAATTCCTACGGCTACAACAGCTTCAAACACTCAAGAAAGCTTAAAGAGGATGACTGAAGAATGGCATTGGATTTGACAATTAGAAGGTCATTAAATGTGACTTTATTGACAGCAATTTCAGTGAGTGGATGGGGGTGGGGGCAGAATGGAAGCCATAATGTGCTGTAATGGGTAGAGGAATTACTGAGATTTGAAGTAATGGAAACAACTCTGCCCCTTCCAACAAACGTGCCAGTAAAAGGAGAGAAGATAATAGCTTTAGATGCAACTAGGCAGAGGACTGATGTTTTGGTGGTTTGACTGTTCTGTTATTTGGTGGATTGGATGAAGAGATTTTAAATACAGGAGGTGAAGGGAGAAAAGAAAAATACTGGGGAGGAGGGGAATGATGATAGGAACTGATGCCAGGCCTTGTTCTAAGCATTTTACACTTACCTATTTCTTTAGTCCTGATGAGGGAGATTCCATTATTATCCCATTTTTCAGATGGAAATACTGAGGCAAAAAGAGGTTGACTAATTTGCCCAAGGTCATCCAGCCAGTAAGTGGCAGTCTGGCCTGAGTCAAGACACTATTACAAGGCCCTAAGGGGGTGGAAGAATGAATCCAGTGCAAGGGTGGCAGGAGGGTCTGTCCCCAGAAGATAGAAGGATGCCTCCTTGAGCTGGAGCAGTGGCACTATTTTAGTAGGTCTTGGGGCAGAGGGAATAGAACGGAAGGGATTCTTAGAAGCCCGGCTCTCAGGGGGTAAGGGCTTAAAAAGCGGCAAAGGATTGGAACAGCTGGTTCTGGAAATAAGAAAAGAAGCTCCCAGAGAAGAACACAGAAAAGAATCACTAAGCAAGCGGCTTAAGTGGCCTGGTGAGTTAAACACCCGCAGTCGCGGGGTTTAGGTAGCGTGTGGCTTCTCCAGCAACCCCTGCAGCCAGGGGCAGAATCAGAATAAACAGAGGGTAAAATTTACCCAGGAAGGGGCAGAAGAAACCTCCTAGGAAGTCTGATGATAAAAACTCAGTCCTGGTATGGAGCTTAAGGTTGGTCCCCCTTGAGAGGTACGGCATGCAACACTCTGAAGTACAGAGGAGCTTCCAGAAAGAGGGAGGTGATACTTGAGTTCATATTAAAAGTCTTAATAAAAAAACAAAACACTAACAAGGCTGGACACAGTGGCTCACGCCTGTAACCCCAGCACTTTGGGAGGCCAAGGTGGGCAAATCACCTGAGGTCAAGAGTTCAAGACCAGCCTGGCCAACATGGTGAAACCCCCGTCTCCATTAAAAATACAAAAATTAGCCAGATGTGGTGGCGTGCACCTGTAGTCCCAGCTACTTGGGAGGCTGAGACATGAGAATTGCTTGAACCCCGGATGTGGGGGTTGCAGTGAATCAAGATTGCGCCACTGCACTCCAGCCTGGGTGACAGAGTAAGACCCTGTCTGAAATTAAAAAAAAAAGAATAAGAAAAAAAGAAGCTCAGTGTCTCCTTTTAAGAAAATCTTTCACAAAGCCCAGCAAACAAGTCACCAATATGTATACCTCATAAACACAGGCTGGAGGGGTCCCAAGTGAGCCAAGCTTCACCTTCTCCTCTAATGATCTTGGCACAGCACTGAGAAA